GTATACCTTTAAAAAAGACAAAAATGTGACCAAGAATACAGAAAATTATGTTATATGAATAAAAGTCAGATTCCTTGTGCCAACATACTTGACTAACAAAGCTGATTCTGGTTCTGAATATTCAGTACCTTTTTATGCTTGGATTTACATTCTTTTATAGTCATTCAAATTACTTTTAAAAAGCATTGATATTTATAAACATAAACATCTGAAGTGTTTATTTAGTAGATAAAAAGGAAAAATATCAAACCACATTGACTAAATATGTAACTTTAACAACATAGATGTGATTTCTGTGGGTCGCATTGTTGTCAGCTGGATAATTCTGATTCTTACAGATATAATATTTAGATAACTTTTCACATATTCTGTTTTCACTTCAATCAAATATTCAAAGCAAGACTGTATCTTATTCTTGACTTAACATATATTTCTAACTTTCTTCATTCCTTTACTCCCTGAAAGCTAAGTGTGTTCCTTGTTGATCACCTGCATCCATTTTCATTGCATGTTGGCTATAAAAGACATTTACACACAAATCCTTTCTTTGCAGCAAGCAGTGAGGTCCTTTCATTTCTTAGGCCAAGATGTCTTTTCAAATAATTTTCTTTAGATTTTGAAGCACATTCCAATCTCAAAAGGACTTTTTTTTATTTCTTTTTCCCGTTTGCCAATGATTATAAATCTAAATACCTCAGTGTTGACATTTTGCCCGCCTCATCATTGTCTTGCCATTTTACCCCTCCGTCAGCGGTTACTTTTCCTGCCAACATCTTGTCATCGTGCCAGAGCTTATGCAGATTTTAAGATGTGCTATTCACGCGGATGTTAAGACACACAGAGGGACGCCAGGCTTAGTGTGCAGAACAGACCGGCACACTGCACACTCCTGTCTTCTCCGATCATCTTTGATTCATATGGGGCTGTCACTGTCCCAGTTGCATCAGCTCAAACTCATAACTGTATGTGCTGTCAGAGGGCTGTATAATGCAGAGAGGCGATAACATTGTGGCGCTAGCAGGTGGAAAAAGGCAGCTGTAGTGATACTGGGTGCTTATCTGTTCCTTTCAAGTGCCCACATAAGGCAATAGAGTCTGCTGGGTGAAGCTATAGAAGTGGCAGAGAGGCTGAGAAGAATGTGATGGCATTCGCCGAGATGAGAGTTAGCATGTGTGACCCGGAAAACTGTACTTTTGCTTTGTGCATGAGGTGCATTAAGAATCTTAACTCCTTCTACCTTCCTCTTCCTATTAGAATGTACCACCACTCTATATTCATCATTATAGACATTATAAGTCAAGTCTCATGTTCTCTCAAGGGCATCTTGTATTAAATCAGTAAGCTTCTTTCACCAATAGGTAAACAGATTATCCTAGTTGTTTTTGCAGAAATCTGCCTGTTTCTCCTGTTTAACTCTAACAATTCTCACTGTGTCTTATCCAGCGTTGATGGATAAGCCAAATAATTGCTTTACAAAGTCGCTCTGTCTTTCCAGATGAGAAGCTCCTGCTGCTTGCAGGTGGCTCTGTCATCCCCTTAAGTAGGTCTACGGGTCCTCTCTTCAGAGGCCACTCAAGGACGTCCGAGTTCAAGCTACCTTCTGATCTAAATAGACTTCCACCGGGGCTAAAAAGAAAGCACCCCCTCTTCCTGTTCAGTGATTTGATGTATCAAGAAGCTGTCACTGTCAACTAAATCTTTGCTGCATCCATATTTAAAAGGAAAAGGAGCAGCCAGGTCTTGCCAATCAAATACACTTAAATAATTGATCGTCAGTAAAAGTGTCCACCACTGTGAAAGCCGCTTTTTTGTTGTTGTTGCAGTTTGCTTGGGAGGTGAAAACTGCAGATTTGTGTTCACACAAGGGCAGGGCAGAAAGACCCCATAATCACCTTCAAGAAGTGATTGCCACTTCCTATCAATCTAGGAAAATATAAAGATGTATTCCCAAGTAATGTGTTATGCATACATTTAGTCAGACTTCAGCTTCCAGTCTTCCCACACATTGGCATAGTAAGTTTGGACTGCCTTCTCCCTCACAATTGATCCCTTCCAATTTGGGTTTGGGTCTAGCCACTCAGTGTGTGAGTGTGTGTGTGAATGGGTGAATGAATGTAGTGTAAAGCGCTTTGGTCAGGTCTCCTAACCTGAATAAAGGCGCTATATAAGTACATGCCATTTACCATTTACCATTTACTTGACTGATGGCGCCATGTTAGCTGCCCTTAACAAAACATTCTATTCAATCATCCCCTAATGAGTGATACTCACATTGGCTTCTCTGTTTCTTCATTGGTAGACCACAAGCAAAACAGGTTGGCAACATCATCATCATACTAAAAAAAGGTAACCCCAAACAGGGATATATGCTGTCCTCTCCCTTTTCACACTGTCGTCCCTTTGATCTTAAACTCTTGCACATCTTGAACTGTTGATCAAGTGTTCCGTCTCCACTATTGGAGGATGAGACCCATGACAGGAGAAAAGCTGGTTATTTGTCCCAGTGGTGCAGCCACAGCCTTTTCTCTCTGATGGTAGATAAGACAGAGAAGATTTCAGGAGAAAATACCCAAAGCAAGGTTCTGCTAGAGCTGTGGTGGGTAAAGGGGTCTTTTGTTCCCTAGTGTCCATGTCTAAGGATCTCTAATGGGCCACCAACACCACATCAAAGGCTGAGATTGCTAGTCCCTCTCCCTCTTCTTTAAGCTTAGATCATCAGCCACATCTGCCATCATGGTTTCTTGCAGAGCACTACTCTGTAAGAAAAAGAAAAAACATATATGTGTCTTTCAGAAGAATTCAAGAAAGCTTCCTCTATTTCCACCGTCTACATCCATGAAGAGGGGGATTTACCATTAGGTCATACTAGGAAGTTGCCTAGGGACCCAAGTTACTGGGGGCCCCATAAAACTCTGTTTACATGTATAGTTAATACAATAATTCCTTATTTGTGCACATTAATTATGTTTTTGATAAAATTCCTCTCATTACAATGACATCAGTAGGCTTATAATGTTAAGTGTGTCTCTTATTATTACATTTGCCATCGCCTTTTTGGGAATATAGGAAGGAGAAATCGGCTAAGTGATCTTAGTGATTGGAAAAAAATTTCATTTCTTTTTGAGACCACATGAAAGTCAGCTGAGTACAAAACATAGAGAGGAAAGCAACAAGAAAAGGGACAAGAAGAGAGGAACAAAACATAGAACTATTAATGTAATGGGTGTGTTTTATGTGTTGTCTTCTCAATTCATAGGGCCCCCTGCCTGTTTTGCCTCAAAGTTCCTAAATCCAACCCTTCATCCATGTGCAACATGAGCAATTGCTGCATACTCAGTGATCCAATGCAAGCGACTGAATGAGAAGAGTGAATGCTTCAAGTCAATGATTTAATGCTATCTGCTGTGTTTCAATTGATTTAAAAAATTGACATTAAATTGAAAATAACCTGACTCCACTGTTTGATTGAAAGGGTCTATTTGGAATGCATATAGCCGACTTTTAATCTGTCTACTGTACAGCAGAGGTTTTTAAAAATGGCTGGGAAGGGCAGGGAAGGCGGCTCCCACAAAACTATTAAATAGATAAATAATCGTAAAATAATTTTCTAAAACAGCTTCCGAAGCATATCTGGTCATTACATTAATATTCACAAAGATGGGTAATGAGGAAAGGCTGCAGTATGTTTTCAGTCTTAAAGTAAGGTGATCAGCTTACTGTAATCTAATCTGGGGACATTTCCAGCTCGTAGAAGAAAATAAATACATATTATAAAAATTAAAATAAGAAACAGGGACAGTGATGGTTTCATCCATTCTTTTTTTATATTTATTAAGATTTAAACAGCAACAATCCAGTGTAAAAAAACAGCCAAATAACTTATAACTCTAATTAAAATAACTATCTGATGATATAAACCAAAGATGACCAATCAGTTCTAAAAACATCTTTAGATGAACCCTTGTTGATCCTTGGAGAACCACGGGACGTCTGGTCACTGTATCTTAAACAGCTAGCTCTTTTAAAGCCTTGCAAGATCAGATGGAACATAAAGCAGTTGATCTTTTTTTTTTTTTTCAACAAAAACTTGGAAACTGCCGTTCCTTGCTTTTAATTAAGCTACATCTGCACTGTCAAATGCTCAACTGAGCTCATAGAAAATCCTAGAAGAATTAATACCTGCCCTTTCTATGGGCATGGTTTCAACTATGACTAATGAACGAGCAGCCAGCAAACTATGGCTATTTCTATGTCCAATACTAGTATCGGCAGGCACTTTAATGCCATTTCAAATAACATAGTGGAGTAACTTAATGACAAGGTGCGAGACAGCAGCTTGGCCCTGCAGATGGATGAACCCACTGACTGTAAAAGAGACTGCTCACTGATAAATGACAAAAGATTCACAGAAGGCAATAATATGAGTGAGGAGTTGCTTTTCTGCAAACAAGTTCCTGGAAGAGCCATTTCAGAAAAACTATTTAAAATCACTGACTTGACTTTAGGGATGCTTATCTATAATGGGAGGGGTATCCACAGATGGGTTGCAGGCTATAGCCAGGAAAAGGGGAGGAGGAGGCCGCTCACCCAGAGTAACTACACAAAAATTGAGGGAACTGCATGATGCACAGTAAAGCACTGGTGTTTAAATACATTCAAAATGGCCCTTCCCAGTCAAAAGCCTGCCGAATGGCAATAAAATCCCCTTCAACTTCCAGCCACTGGCCACTCGACTTAATCGTTTTAAGTGGAAGTATGTGTTTTTGTACCATTTAAGATGTATTCCAAGAATTTTTAAACATTGTTATAACCCCATTGTAATCTTTTCACTTTAGGGGCGACTTTCTTTGTGATGTAACCTACATTAAACTTTCTGATCTACAGTAAAGTCAGTTCAAAAGACTAATGCAAAACATTTTTATCTTTGTGTTTTCTTATCTTTTTACTTAGTGAGTGAAATCACAGTCCTGATCTTTCCTCTTCTCACTCTCTGCCCTCAGCTATTGGTGAGCCGGTAGAAATCGAGTGGTTTAACCCCCTGGGTGATCGCATGGTGAGTTCCAAACGCATGTCGCTGCAGACCGAGGGGTCCCGATCGCGGCTCGTCATCTACAACGCCATCATCGAGGACGCGGGAATCTACCGCTGTCAAGCCACCGATGCCAGCGGTCACACAGAGGAGGCGTCGGTTGTGCTGGAGATCTACCGTAAGTTTAACCATGTTACCGTGACACCGGTTAACCTGCAGATGCTCCATGGCCTCCTTGGTAAAATCACACATGAAGAGAATAAAGCTTAGAAATTAAACTTTGATCATGCTGAGAGAAAGATGATTCATATTCCCATCTACACCACAGGCTGTTAAAGATAACCCTACTCTTGAGGTCAATGCGTACCTTAAGCTCTGTGTGAACCCCTGTGAAGCTGTGTTCCCCATTATAGTATGATAACAGCTAGTAAAGCCTACGGGATCCGGTTCCTGGCAGACTTAATGAGCGTCACAGCACTTTGTTTCACCTGCCTTTGTGACCCGTTAACATTGTGAGGCAGGGGTTGTCTGGGTCTCTGCAGAGACTGTCCCATCACTGACCCTGCTCTACCAGTAAGAAGTCAGTTAGCTGCCATTATTTGACGTAACCCTGAACACATTAAGCTAAACCGATAAAGGCTTGTTTTTGCTCTTCCTTGGGCATAAAAAAACATTTCTAGAACGTGTGTAGAAAAATGTAGTTATGTTTAAATCATATACCTTACACTGAAGGCAAAAAACAACAAAAAACTGTTTATTTAAAATGATAAAAAATAAAACTTTTAACAGTTTTATACTTATATAATTTTAAATATCTATCTTAAAAGAGATTATTTGATCTGCAAGCCTAGTATGTCAAGGCCAGTGGGCGGAGCTTGTGATCCTTCAATCAAGATTAGTTAAAAACCTTCAATCAATTAGATATAGGCTTGTTAGCTGTTTTAATTTCTTTAAGTCTCTCTTGTTACCTTGTAAATAAATACAGGCAATAACTTATAGGCTTACAGCATATTTATTTAAATGGTGTAATGTATATATTATTCAGTTGTTTTATGAATATAGTCAACCTAAGTTACTGTAATAAACACATTCACTAATAATGTTTTAATTTATTGTAATCAACCAGTATTTATATTTTATAGCTTAGCACCTCTGGCTTTCTGTAGAGTTAATTTCTGAAGCCACTTTAATTAAGGCCCAAACTACATGAATAATGAAAGGTTTCTTTATCAGAACCTCTAAGGGTTTCAATAAGCCCATCTCCAGGCAAATAAAGTGTTGAATTTTACATGATACAGAGCTGTATAAATAACATATGAGCAGTTACATCCTTGAAATGACCTGACTCTAGATGAAAGAAGACACACTCCTTCCTGTTCAAAGCCTGATCAGCCACACAGAATGAATTAACCATAAAGTGGAGGATTTTCTACATGGAAAAATCACATTGCAACAAAGTGAACCCTGTGATGTGACTGACTAAATACCCTTGTGAATAATCAGGAGACAAACCAAGTTTAATTAGAAGGAATGTCAAAGTACAACGATCAAACTCCAGAAAACACACGGTCATATGCACGTCTACATGCCGGAAATCCTGTGCTACTGTCTTTCCTCTGTCTCCCGGTGAGGCATTAGCAGAAACATCACAGCCCCAATCCCACCTGCCGCCGCTCAGCCATAGCCTCATTCACCACATAACCAGCCCCGTTGTTTCCCTGGCAACAGAGCGCCGCTCATTCACGGCCCCACGCTGAAGGTTTCATGAGTGGAATGCCAATGAAGAACCCGCTGGAAAGCTGGAGGCTGGCATCCTACCTGCACACAGCTGGAGCGAGCGAAAGGCTTCTGAGGTGGACCTGTTAGTCTGCAGCATGTTAGACGGAACATTCTGACCTCTAGGTTAAAGTACTGACATCCCATCAGTACCTGCAGACATTTCCACACAAGCTGGCAACCACAAAGAAATCAATGCAACCAGATTGCAAAAGTGAAAATAAAAAGTACAGAGTTGACCCACCAAATTATTGATTTTGTTTTTCAGGGAAACAGCGTTCAGACTGCTTCCACAAAAAAATAAGAAACCATCAGTCAGTCTCAGGAACTCAGTGAATTCTAACATGATAATCTGAAAAGATGCCATCTAGGCAATAAGTCAATTTCTAAAACTGTCCTTCCCCCAAATTTTCCACACTGAACCGAGTAGTTTTATAACAAGGTGTAACCATTCAGACCATAAATACCCTGTAAAATTACAAAGCGGATGTATGGTTTGCTGAAATCATCCGGTTTCTGAAAGATCAGGAGCTACACTCCTCTAAACTTGACGTGACGTTTGAACTTACCCCAGATAACACAGCTGCATCCAAGCTTTACATCATCATGGCAATTCATTGGGTGGATGTAGTGGTGTAAAGCCGATCATCCCTGCACTCTGGAACCTCTGGCGGGTATAGGTCACTGCAGGAGACAGGTGTCTACTGCTATCCCACTAGAACTCTTGCCCAGTTCAAGTCAGACTTAGGTCTGTTAATGTCACAGCACTCTTGAAGTCTGAAGCAAACTGCGGATAGACATGTCTCACTTGCATTGGGAGGAGCTACACTGTCCTTTTTCCTTTGCCTGTCTCTTTTGTGTCTTGCCTTTATTTGCTGTGCAGTCAGTTTGTCATGTTACAATCAAACTGTTGTTGAGCAGTAGAGCCCCGCCTAAAGAAGAATCTGGATGCTAGGCGAGTTAAATCCCCAGCTGCCTTAAAAAGATCCAGGCACTCTGAGATTTGCTGCTGCTGTTTGTAGGGGCTGAAAGTAAACATACAGCTTTGCAGGAGGAGAAACATTAGCTTGAATGATGTGGCTAGCCCCTGAATCATTTCTGATTGGTTGACGCGCTGCAAAAGTTCAGTGCTGCCTCTGATGTCCAGACACATGTCATGCATTTAAGAGCTAAAACTATGATGCACCAGATGAACTGAAGAAGCCACTTTTATTTGGATAAGTTTGGGTTAATCTAGTAGTTGTTAACTACAAATGAACCTATTCTGAATCAAGTTGGCCAACACACAGCCACACTTGCTGAACACAGGTTCAACATCCTCTAAATCCTAGGATTCTAGAAAAGTTGCAGGTAAAATAAAGATCACATGCAAGAGTACATAAGTAATGTTATTTTAGTTATGATCATTTTGTTTCAAATAAGTAGAAAATTAAAACCATGTCCAATAAGGTTAATGTTATGCATTGCTAAATACATTCCTTACATCAAGTGGTTGTTTATTGCTTTTTGGTGTCATTATAGTTTAGTTTAGGTTTACCTTTAAGTTAGTTTTTGAAAGTATACATCATTGTAAACATTAGGTGTAGTCTGGTTTAATCCAAATTATGATTTATTTTGTTTAGGACCACAAGTACAGATAACAAAAATAGGAAATACTATAAAATAGTCCAGGAAAATCCAGTTATGATGATAGTGACAATGATGATGTGTTGCTGCCTGAGAACTGAGCTGAGGATGATAAGGGGGATGCAGACAGTTATGATATAAGGAAGCAGTTTGCTTAAAGTCAAGATCATTTCTAGGTTGATGCAGGACAGGAAGAAGGGTGTGGTCAGCATCATGAGATATTTATCTCTAAACATGTACCAATCCTTCTTTGTTGAAGAAATATGGAGACATGTTTGTTCCTTTTTAGAGTTAAGAAACATTAGAGGTTTAGAGTTGTTAAAATATCTAAATGTATGTTAAGGTGCTTTTAACACTAGATGTCCCAGAGATTTTCAGTTTTCCTGCAAGCCCCCCTCCCCTCTGCAAGTTTGTGTATTCACTCTGCCTTGCTAACTGTCCCTATTGTAATGCAAGTAACCTGTGATATGACCAGCCCTTCTACATTAAGACTGGATAAAGGCTGAAACAAACTGGCATCAAGACCAAGTTCCAAGCACTTTTCAGTACCTGCCCCTGCAACATCATACCTTTTTGCAGGAATATATTTATATGTCATATCTAAATTTTTATTTAGGCAAACCTATTGAACAACCAGATATCATAGTGGTCCTAGTTCCTGAGCTGAGAGCAAGTCATAACCATGATTTTCCAACAAGGCAAGGCAGAGCCTATTTCTATTGTCCATTCACCAACAGACTCATTTATATTGCAAAGCTCACTATATGAAAGAAAGAATAATTGTATTTTGTCTTGTCTCGCCTTTTTATGTCATTCAAAATTTAATCTTAGAGAATGACAAACAGTATGCCTTTAGTATTGGAGTAACATATATGTCACAAAAGGAACAGCCCTAGTCTCTTCATCTCACAATGCTGTCTCATGTGTTCTTCCTTTATTGCCTTTTCTTGCATACAAATGTTACGAAGTTCATTTGCAAGTAGCAGAATTAACTTTGGTGGACTCTCTTTGGTCCCTGTGCATGGCTTGTACAACACATGCTCGTCTGTTGCAGCCAAGCTTGTACGCCAAGCCAAGCCAAGCTTGAAATCTCAATAATTCTGAGTCGATCTGCTGGGCCTATTTATTCTGGGAGCTAGACTTCCCACCCACAACCTTTACATTTCCACCTGCCGCCAGATTGGAATTTGAGCTGGAAACGGGTTTCCAGCACAAAACCGGCTTTCCGCTGGAAATCGTGAGCGGATGATGTTTGCTTGTTTGCCCTCTAGTAAATATGGCAGATGGTCATTGTTGTATAAATATTCTTGTCAGCTGATGGAAATATTTTCATTGTACAGATCAGTTGGGGGGACTGGAGCCCAATTCCCACCCCAAACAGCTCAATTTTGAAAAACAACAGACAGAAGGTATAGCCTCAGAAAGTTTTTTTTTTTTTTTTCAGATAAAGAAAAACAGTCTACATATGGATAAAGCACTAAATATAATGTGGAAAAATGTAAAATGCAATTGTCCCATCTAGCAGTTTCCACATTCCCATGGTGAGCCTTTCCTACATTTGCCACAGGTAAATTTGCCGCAGTGGACACAACGTTCAGTACTTCTGTTGTTATTGCAGAGTATGCGCACCTGGCATTGAGTCTTTTTTCTGCTGGGAAACTCTCATCTCACGACGTAGCTGTTTTTGCTCTTCCTCTTGTGTCTTTTCCTGCAGGAGCCTGTTTTTGAGTTCCTCTGAAAGCTCCAGCATGAACAGTCGACGACTTTCTTTGGATC